CTGTTCGTCTTCTGCATTTGTTGTTGCGTGTGCGATATAAGAGCCAGATCATCTGCGAAGTCTAGATCGTCTAACTGCATCCTAGACGTCCACTGTATCCCGCGCTTCCCTTCAGATGTTGACGTCTTCATGATCCAGTCGATCACCAGGAGAAAGAGAAAGGGTGAGAGTAAGCAACCTTACCTAACGCCGGCCTTCACTTCGAACGACTTTGTCAACTGTCCTCCATGCACGATTTTGCAGTTTAATCCACCATATGAATTCTGTATGATATTGACTATCTTCTGAGGCATGCCGTAGTGTCGAAGAAGTTCCCATAGCGTTGTTCTGTTCACGCTGTCAAATGCTTTTTCGTAGTCAATGTACTTGATGTAGAGTGATGAATTCCATTCACGTGATTGTTCCACAATGATCCGTAGAGTTGCGATTTGGTCTGTACACGACCTATCCTTACGGAATCCTGCCTGTTGATCACGAAGTTGAGCGTCTACTCAGTCCTTCATCCTGTTTAACAATACCCTGTTGAAGACTTTTCCCGGTATTGAGAGAAGAGTGATGCCCCTGTAGTTATCACACTTGCTGAGATTGCCTTTCTTCTGTATTTTGATCAGAAGTCCATCTTTCCAGTTTGTTGGTACTTGTTCATCATCCCAAATCTTATTAAAGAGAATGTGGAGTATCCTTGCAGTTGCCGCTACGTCTGCTTTTAGTGCCTCTTCTGGAATGTTGCCTGGTCCTGCTGCTTTGCCACTCTTGATTTGTCTGATGGCCATGCTGATTTCTTCAATTGTTGGTGGGCCAACATTGATTGGGAGGTCCGTGGGTGCCGCTTCGATGTTGGGTGGGTTCAGTGGAGCTGGTCGATTCAAGAGTTCTTTGAAGTGTTCTACCCACCTGTTTTGTTACTCATCAATGTTGGTGATTACTTCGCCTTCCTTGTTTTTCACTGGTCGTTCTGGTTTGCGGCGATTTTCAGAGAGTTTCTTTGTCGTGTCATACAATTGTCTCATGTTTCCTTCTCTTGCAGCCTTTTCCGCCGTTGCTGCTAAATCTTCCACATATTTACGTTTGTCGGTTCTGATGCTCCTCTTCACTTGTTTGTTTACTTCTGTGTATTCAGCTCGTGCCTTGGCTTTTTCTGCTCTTGTTCGACTGGTATTGATTGCTGCCTTCTTGTTCCTTCTTTCTTGAATCTTATCCAATGTATCAACAGTGATCCATTCCTTGTGATGGTGTTTCTTGTGACCCGGGACCTCATGACATGTTGGAGTGATTGCCTCTTTGATCCGCTTCCAGTTGCTCTCCGCAGTAGTTCTTTCTCCATTGAGTAGATCATGAAAGACCTGTAACTTGTTGCTGAGGACTACCTTGAATTTGTTGAGTTTGTTAGTATCCTGAAGAAAGGCCGTATTGAACTTTTGTGATACTGTCTGCCCCGTTGTCCAGTGCTTCTTGAGTTTCAATTTCATCTTGGCGACCAGCAAGTGATGATTTGATGCTATATCAGCTCCTCTCTTGGTTCTCACGTCCTCTATAGTCCTCCTGAACGTTTTGTTGATGCAAATATGGTCGACTTCGTTTTGTGTAGAGTGATCCGGTGAAGTCCATGTGGTTTTGTGTATGCGTTTATGTGGGAATATGGTGCCGCCTATGACCAGCTTATTGAAGGTACATAGATTTGCAAATCTCTCACCATTTTCGTTTCTTTATTTCATGATGCCTTCATATCCAGTGTTGTCTGTTCCAACCTTGGCGTTGAAATCTCCCATCAGAATGGTCAGGTCCTTTGTTGGGCACTTCTCGACGATTGACTGCAGCCTATTGTAGAATTGAACTTTAGCGTCTTCATTGTAGTTGTTGGTAGGCGCATAGCATTGGATGATGTTCATTGAAATACCCTCTTTCTTTGTTTTGAACGAGGCTTTCATGATCCTAGGTCCATGAGATCCCCATCCTATAAGCGCATTTTGAGCTTGTTTGTACAGCATCAATGCAACTCCTTGTGTATGTGGTGCATTTTCTTCTTCATGGTCGGAGTATAACAAGAGCTCCCCTGTAGTTAGTCGTTGTTGTCCAACTTGTGTCCAATGTGTTTCACTGATCCCAAGTATCTCTTGGTTGTACCTTCTCATTTCTGCAGCAATTTGGAAGGCTCTCCCGGTGTCCCACATTGTACGAACATTCCATGTACCTAAATAAATGGTCGCTCTGGTTGTCAGAAGTGGCATCGGCCTCGTAACTTCCGAAGGAATTCGGCTTTCATCATGAGGCGTCATAATTCTTCTAAATGAAGAACTTCTGACTCCCATGGCAGAGTATAAAAGGTTTGAATAATTTTTTCTGGTTAGCGTTTATTTAGCGAGTTAGTTTTCTACGGGATGGAGACGCTAACCCCATGCCCAACCCTCCTCCTTTATCCGGGCTTCAGACCGGCAGTAGCCCCCGGAGGGACTCCGGTTCATGGGAATTCAAGGTTACCTACTGATAAATACAGCGAACTCCACAGTGAATAAAAGTTACGCATTCATGTAAATCAATTATTATGCACTTATTTGACAAATCATTATACTGTTTAAGACTAATTTCCGCCTTGAAATAATTTGGAGCTGGATATTGTTTTGCAACGAAATGTCAATGTTGAATCTAAATACGTTGCTAATTACCACGTCTTGTTCATAACGGGATACAATGATTTTCACCAGATACACATGATAAATTGACTAGTTGTTGATCATTTTCTGTCACATGAAACACTCAATCACTAGTGTCATTTGATAATTTCAAGTATTTGTTGGTCGATCACTGATGTCATGAGCTGACCTATTGTAGTCGAGATTACTAGAGGTCATTCTTGTCGAATAATTTTCAATTTTGAGTGGACTATGGTGTCAGTTTGATTCCATGGATCACTTTACTTCACTTATGTGGACACTGGAAAGACACAACTACAACCAACATTAACACAAACCAATCGAGAGCAACATGAAAGCTACTGAAGTTGAGGAATACAAAATTACAATGTCTTCGATTGTATACTGGACCAAATCGACGTGATTATTGTAATCGTTTTGGATATTATGAATTTGGATTTCTTCTCTTTATACACACCCAACTTCGATTGAACTTCACTCAGTGTGAAGTAAACGGCCACATTAGTGGTTCACTTATGAATAGTTGCTCCTTCTGATCATATTCTAGAACTTTATTTTTACTTAAGAGCATTTAGAACTGTGATAAGCAGACCTATATTGAGCGTGGTACAGTCGGGAGTATGCTTTACATGTATATATCTTGAGAAAATAATTAGTGTGTTTGATCGTATATAACTTGAATTTTCATATCTAATCATAATGCTTTATACTTTCATGATGAATCGAAATATTTCCTCATATACATTTGAAATATTTATATGGTAATATACCATAAGAGCGACTATGCAGCATTGATATTCTCATCCTTCTTTTTAGTGAATGATTGTTATCTGACAGCTAGCGGAATATACCCTAAAACAAAACATTACCATAATGTCATATTTAATGAATAATAACGTAATTTTTAATGTCAAGTTATCGATTGATTCGTTTTCTTATGGTAGTACTGGATATACAACGTCACATTATAAAAAGAATTGAAGCCTACTATTTGTACGTTGCAATTATCATAGGGAATATTATTGTGTCGACTACATGGGATGTGTTCGTCAGATTAGTTGGGATTTTCTACTACTCATGTTGTAATTTCAAGTTTGACGATTGGATGGAATGTGTATTTCAGTGGTCGAGAATATGTATGTATTATCAGTTCAGATTGCATGACGTATGTTGTAACGTCATTGATGATAAAACTCCCAGTGAATATCCACAGAATGAAGATAAGGTTTTCGTAATTAATCGACATTGAAGTTCGAATTAACAGAACAACAATTTCACCTATAACTCACTTTAGAATCTCACTTCGATGAAACTAATCATTCGTGATTATCATCTAAAATTCATATTTTTGTTATCCAGGGTTGAGTGAAAGCCTATTGATACGGCGAAAACCAGTTAATAATCCAACTACATTTATTGAGATGTCCTACATAAATTAGTCTGATTAGGTTGTTATATTATCACAGTATGATTGATATTCCTTCGGTAATGCACAAAGCACACACTATAAATAAAGTCTTTTGATGTAATCGTTTTGCTTGGAAACGTTTCATGGAAACAGAACATACACTGATGACCCATAAACTATATTCACTAAATCTTTATTCAAATATATAACCCTATATTCTCTCTGCTGAAATTTTATATTTTGCATCGAGAGGAAAGGGCTCACATTCTCTATGAATATCATTTCAAGATTTAAAATAAGTTGGGTAGGTAAAACATGCACGGTTGATAAAAACGGAAATATTTCATAGTCAACATTAAGGAATAATCGTGATTATCTAGCCAGTTGAAAAACGTAAGTGCTGGACGGATGTTCCCTCCAAGTAAGATGCCACTCAGAAGTGAGCACCCATCACCCGGATACCACGTTTCAAATCCAGGATGTTCAGCTTCACCCAGTAGTCTAGAAATCAGGTGTTTACACCAGGAACTGAAGTCCTGGGTTTGATCATTGGTGGTGGAGTGTTGGATGCTCACTGATGAGTGGTATCATAATAGAACGAAGCGCCTATCTAGTGTTGTTGGCTGTCGGCTATTGTTTGATTGTGATCATTCCGTGATGTTGACTATGAGATTGAAAATCTTCCATCAACCGCTATGGCAGATTGATCATTTATTCTTGATCCGATCATTTTGTTATCTATGTGGACTGATTTTCAAAGTCTAAATAGAAGTAATCATTTCGTGTGATTTGTTTAAATAAAATTGGACCAGGTAAATAAATGTTTTCCACAAATATCACCATCTAGGTTAGTACAATTGCAAAATATATTTTGATTATTTCATATTGTAGTGTTTATTAAATAAATTGTATAACGCTGAATGGTTTTTATAACAAGGATTCTAAGCTAAATGCACTTCAGTTGTCGTATTTTCATTCGATTCATCACGATAATTTATTGGCCGGAAACCTTCATTTGGAACTTGAATCGGTTGTGGTCGAAATGGAGGTATGCCTTGTGGAAATTGATTATTCGGCAACCATGTTATTCGCGGCCTGTGACAGTAAAAATTATAATTGTCCTGGTTTAGTTTTAAGCATTTAAGTGCGGAGCCCACTGACCATAATCCTTTTTCCCTTAAATCACGAACACATGCACCAGGTGGAATTATAATATATTGACCGCGGAATCCGTGTCGCCTATGTAATAAAATAAAATTTTGAAAATTTGAGCTGAACAAAATATCAATTTTAATAATGATTGAATGTTTTAAAGACGATTTAACTGTAACTATCTCATTTGTATCGAGTCACTGAATGTTTCTATCAAATAATAGCAGATTCAAACCAATCACTTGAAATAACTTTTCCAAAGACTTCGTATGTACACTGATGATACTGATAATTTCGAATAAGCAACTCATCTGATCAGAACTAGATATATGATTGTTTTTGTTGGAGACATTCCAATTAGATCATATAGGACTTTTGTAAATCGTTATCATATCAGTCTATTCAACACATCATGTCTCGTAGTATAATCCACTCAAGGTTGTCGCGCAAAATTAATCTGTCAAGTTATGTTGGTCAAAGTCTGTATTTTATTTATTTCCTCTAATTAATTAAAAGTTTGCTGTGTATCATGACTCAGTCAGCAAACATTCAAAGACATTATTTCACTAAGAACACATACTCAGTATTATGAACCAATTCGAGATGGTTTGTTTTCACAATTCCTTCCTTTTATAATTCGTATAAATGGTTCATTACTCTGAGAGCAAACATCGTGAAAACTAGATGCAATGGGTACTTTATGAAAGTGAAATCTTCATAGTTCGGATTTGAATGAAATGTCTCAGGATTATAGACCACTTAACGCTTGTATAGATGTAAGCGAATCTATTATGTACATGCAACTTCATGACGCTTACTGATTGTGACTAGAATACAATGCTTCGTTGATTGCAGTTGATTGTTGATTCGATTTCAGTTTTCAAAATAACTATCTTACCAATAACGTTGACTATCACTCAGAACGTATGAAATAACAAGTACAGTGTTTAATCGTATTTGGAACTCGTCATCTGGATGCATCTGCATCCCAGAGTTGATGTTCACTGATCGCTTGCAATTCTAAACAACAAGCGAGCAATACCAAGTGAAGTGGTGTATTTCAATTGTGATAATATCCTCTTTGAATTGTTCCATATTGATTGTATTTTGCACAAATTACTACAAGGAATCCAGTTTACCTTCGTGAACACACTATTTAATACGTGAAAAGATATCGGCTTAGTTTTCTTGTTCTTGTCAACAAAATACCTTCAGAGTTCATTGTGATAATCTTATTTAGTAAATATAAATTTAATTAATAATGCTAGATACTTGAATATGAGGAGAGAAATTTCAGTAGAGTGACATTTTGCGAAAACCATAAGTAAGGATGGGAATTACTTTCGCTCATCGTGGTATCACACAGGAAGTGACCAAATAGTCTACTATTTCAAAACGTGTAACGGACATTCCATATGAAACACATAAGTGAGCAATAGTTTGGGAACTTACGAATACACGATCCAGTACCTCGTCGTCAGAAAACTTCGATGTGAACAAATCACATTTGTATAATACATAAAATATGGGTCAATATAACTATTACTGTCGCAAAGATCAATCCAATAATAGCGTCCTAAGAGTGGAGCAAACAGCCGTAAACAGTCTGATGATTGCAGGGGTGCCTGCAACAAAGTGGATTGTGATTCAGTCGAATTGATGTGAGACTCAGTAGTATCTACCACTGTCTCAAGTGACCATTCTGTGAAGCATATAAGTACAACAAACAGGATTATGAAACTAGCTGACATTATTCTTCGTAAACCAGTGGAATAAACTTGTGTAGTTCCATTTATACTCTTTTCAAGCATATGATTTGGGTCAAGTTTAGCACACTGATCTCGTGATAATTGTAAATGTCATATTGTGAGAATCATAAATATAAATTCTTCAACACGTATTTGTATTAGATTATTCTAATGATTTTTTATCATTGACAATATCTACTTGTTGTAACTAAATCACACATAATAGTTCAGTTGATTGCAAAAAATGGATGTACTATTATCTTAAGAAAGACCGATTCAACAGATGCATTTCTAAATGTGTGTACAATGGCAAATTTGTGGTTATTCTTCGAAGTGATAATAATTGCAATAATGATGACAATAAATATACTACCTTCTAGCAATTGATCAACACTGGAGTTTGGCGAAAACAGACGTGTTCTCGGCATATTAAAATGTCTGTACAATATTATTCAGTGTTTATTATAAGATTCATTCTACAGCATTCGTCAATAACGATAGGAAAACAGAGACGAACTTTATCAAACAGAGTGTACATTGTTCTAATTTCCATAGTTATTGCCATCAGCTCTAGTTTGCTGCACACCTAGTAGACCATTTTGTAAGTAATGATTTATATGTTGTAACTCTGAATCTCTTCATATGGCCGTTATGAGAAGGGCTCTCACTGCATACATGAAACTCACTTTTGCGTGTTCTGTAAAGAAAATCACAGCAACTTCAGAATGTTTGTTATTTTCAGTGTAATTACTTATTAAACGAGATAAGTTGTCTTCCCGACAAAACTTTTCTGTCTATCTGTACTGAACTCCAAAGCAATAATTTTTACAATTGAACTTCGAAACAAACAAATTATTCACATTCTAGTTGTTTAAATGACAAGGAAATGCAACGGGATTTCAAGAAGATCAATTTACAAGAAACCCTTGTGGAATGACTAACTTATCAAGTTTTCACAGTTGGATTCATATTAGCCAAAAGCGAAATGTAATCATATCTTTCGTTGTATGGATGCATAAAATTTGTATTCCTGAAGTCATAGATAACAAGTGCCCTTCGATATTCAATGACAAAATTATAAAATCAAACCAAATGTACCACAAATAAATTCTATAGAAAAGAAAACATTATATAATCATCCATTTCAAAAACGAAGTATTTACATACGTTATGGAGTTAAAAATGTTCGACTGTCGGAATATCCGCAACTTTGATAATCATGTTTGTCAGACGATCGATGAACATCAATAATCTTTAGGATATTTTACCTCAATTAAGCAACCCTACATGTATTTATCAATTTACTTATTCATGTGAGTTCAGGTATATAATTAGTTCAACGCTTATTTTATCCAAAAAGAATCTGAGAAAATTATCTGTCTTGACTGCAAAAAGGTTAAAATTGCTCATTAGAAACCTTAATATCCGAACTACCACAACCATAATAAAAAATGTACTTGTATTTATAAGCAATTGTTCATCTAAGATATTGGATGTTTGTTGGCCGGATACCATCAGCAACAGCTTACTATGGGAGAGAACAAACCAACTTCCAACTGAAGAAGAAATTAGGAAAAGACGTTGAAAGTGGATAGAACATACATTACGAAAATCACAAAACGGCATCATGGAAGAAGCCACGATCTGGAATCCTGAAAGGAAGTGGAAAAGAGGAAGGCCAAAGAACGCACTACGTCAGGACTTGGGAGCAGACATTAAAAGGATGATTAGCAACTGGAAACAACTGGAAAGGATTTGCGAGGACAGAGTTGGATGGAGAATGCTGGTGAACGTCCTATGCTCCTCCATTGGGGCTAACAGGTGCATATTATTAGACATATGAATAAATCTTGGTAATAAGATAACTTAAGAGATACATTGAATTCACGTTAATCATTATGAGTCAAGCATCAGTGAATAAATTACAATTTACACCTTCGTGGATGTGCACTGTTAAGAAGTCCCACAGTTTAACGAAACGGCCGACCAGTGTCCTCAGATTTTCCATGGTAGTCTAGCTTCAGTTGAATCACGATTTCAACTATTGAAAGGACTGAAATCTCCACAAAACTCCTTCTGAAAATAAAGTATTTATTGTATGGTTCTCAAATGTTACAAAGAGATACTGTAATTTTGTGTTCAAATACATTCGATTGTCCTCACTTATGTTCTCGTTCACTACAATATATATATATATATATATATATATATATATATATATATATATATATATATATATATATATGAAAATGGTCACCACCACGTGATCCAGGAAAAAAACCAAGAAAAAAAGAGAAAGAAATAAAAGGAAAAGAAAAATACAACGTCATGAACCCAAATATGAGATGATGTAGCAACATTTAAGGTAATTAAAATATTTGAAAATAGGTTGATTTTAATCTTAAGAAATTGTATTCAATTGTAATAATCACTGACTGGTCACTATGAATTTTGGATTAGACAATAATAAAAGTACGTGATTTAGCTTTACATTTAGAAAGTAGATTCATTTAATCGTATCAATGGAATTTCAAATTTAATTTAATGACTACAGAGTGTATAGATTTGAATAGTCTCTAATGTTAATGGTAAATACAGTAACTTTATCATTATTCGCTAATTTAGCGATGTAATCGATAACTTGACAACTAATGATTTGAACTATAAGAATCGTTAATATTTTCGTTCTTTTTTGTTTTATATCAAAAACTGTATTTCTAGATAAATCATGGATTTTGGTCTCGAGATTTAGGTTACAATCAGGTTTGTGAATGACAGTCTTTGAAATGATTCTATAGCGTTTATAGCTATGCTGAATCTTAACATGACGTATATAATAAATATCAGTATAAGGGTTGTGCAGATTATTAAGTTTTTGATTGAGATCATGGACCAATTGATGTGAGAACATCAATGAAGCGTAGAAGCACTGGACGACCGTTTCGTCCCATTGTGGGGCTCCTCAGCGGTGCGTATCCACGATCCCACTCACTGGACTCGGACTCAGATCTTTCAGTCTTGCGCGCGAACGCTTAACCTAGTGGACCAACGAGTCAGAGCCCAATGGTGTTAATGTCTAGTCTCAACCAATGCATGAAATTGCGCGTCCATCTTCCTTTGTACTGTCTCTATCCAACGCGGATTAGTTCCACTGGTCACGGGTTCTCACTTGAACTCCAAGAATTCCCTCACGAAGCTAGTCCCCAGTGAGCATATGGTAATGATTATCAGAATTGGGTTGTGGAGATTATTGAGTTTTTTTATTGAATGCGCACTGTCAAGGAGGAGTCCCACAATAGGACGAAACGGCCATCCAATGCTTCCAGTTCTTTCAATGGTGGTAGAACATCGATCAGTTCATAATCTCAATCGGAAATAATAAAATTAATTTAACTGATTCTGTAGTACTGAAACTGTAAATTACGTCAAGTAATGTACATAAGACAGATTTTTTGATATGAAATTGGAGTATACAAACGTGATTGAGATAACCGCGAGGGACTTGAAGCCAGTTCTTAGTTAATACCTTATGGAAAAGATAGATTTCAAATCTTTTTAAATTTAGACTGGCAGTTTGTTAAAAAAGAATCAACGACATGAAAAACTCAACACTGAGGATATAGATCATTTGACTTTCATAATTCTTAAAAAGAACCCAAAGAAGATTTTACAGAATAAGAAGTTTATGGTTAGGATTCCCCTCATGATCTGACATCAGATATTATGTGAAAATATTGTTTAGCCAAATGAATGAATGAATTTGACTCAGAAATGAAAGAGGCTCTATTTGATTAGTTAATCTATGAAAGATGGTACAATCAGGTCAATGTTTGTTTTGCGATTATGAGTTTGAGTTTAGGATTTAGGTATAAGGTTGATATATTTGTTATAGATAACGCAGATAATGAGAAAATCAAATGCATAATTATTTCAACCTAATTTTTTACTTTATAAAGGATACTATATAAGCGCTATTTATTCCTTATACTTGGAACAAGGAATCATTACAACTTGTCATGAGGCACCAGTTCCCTCAAGATTACAGGTACACCATGCTGACGGATGCCAAATAGTACGAAACCCGGGTACAGGGTTTCTTGTTGACTACCTCTAACCACCATCTTATCTCAACATAATAAACACAATGTTGAGTCACCTATATTAGTGGTCTCATTGCTGCTTGATCGATAGCATTCGATCTGCACTAAGAACGACCTGACACACATAACTTTTCTCACCCACCACCCAGTGATTAATCAAGTGAAATTTTATTCACCCTGAAAACAAAATGATGACTCTAACCAAGAATACATTCATTCTATATTGATTTGACCATAAATCTAAAAAATAGTATGTCATATATACAAAAAATGCTTAGAATCATAAACAGTTCACATACTACATATCACATGAATTTAATACAATGAATATTATGTCTTTAATAACCATCGTAAATGAAATAAATCAATATTATATAATAAATAAAATATCATATTGAATTAGAAACGGGTTGTAATGTTGAACAAGGATCGGCGAGACTCTAATTTATGGACGACCTTTGAACGAATCTTAAGTACCCTTGAGAAATATTATCCAATTAGAAGGCAGCCAGTATAGAGTTAAATATATATTATACAAAACTAAGGAATTAAAGTGTATACACTTCTTTTACATGGTTCAAAAATTTTTCAAGGTTAGAAAGAGGTTCAGAGGTTTTAAAATCGTGATGTATAAGGTAGGGGTAATCAATTATATAGCTCCATAATAGTTGGCCTCTGGAAGTATGATAAGATCAGAAAAAATCTTTCAGCCTCGAACACATAGCTTCAATATTATTTTTATGCACTCCAGCTGTTGGGTCCACAAAATGTCACTTATGGATAACGACACGATGCACATAACTATGTGTATGTAGGCGTCTGTACACACTCCAATCATCCTTATATATTGTACTGCCTGGCTGCAGCCCGTGTCAGTGGTGCTTTAGTTATCCAGTTCGAAGCAGTTGTCATAATTTGCCTTAGTTTCAAGTTGAATCGAACGAAGACATCCTATCTTAGCAA